AAAAGGGGCATACTTGCCTAAAATAGTTTGCATTTTCTCCTGTCTCAAAGACAATTTTTCACTTGTAAAACTACCTTTCTCTTGACTGTATTTTAATTCCCTTATTCATGCTGAGTAGTTCCTTATCTGTCAAGTAGCCCCACTGAAGTAACTGGGAGTACTCATGGAGTAAAGTAGTACTCAGCTTGTATGAGTCCAGCAGCACATGGCCTTCTGTAAATCCCCCATCTCTGTTATCAACAGCATGAGAAGCTCTTTTTTCTGACAAAAATAGAATTAGGGCAGAATTTTAGAAATCATGCTGATATTGCAAAATTCACACACACTTTACAAAAATCAAAGAATTAACTAAAGTATTACACTTACCTAAATTTCAATAAGTAATCTAATTAATTGTTTGCACAAAAAAGAAAGGAAAAAACAGCGTTCACAGCAAAAAAATCTGGAAAATGAAAACTTGTAAGTACACATTTCTAGGAAGGAGCCCAAGTGAAGTGCTCTTAATTCCTCTGGCCCTTAAAGTAGCTGGATTTAAAAGTTGAAAGCCACTTTTGTTAGTGTGAAGCACTACCACTGCTCTCAGCAGTGAGCTTTCCCAGTGTCCAAGAAGGTGTTTGAACATGGAGTGTGTTTATTCTTTGTTGGGAGAGAAATGTGTGTGTGCTCTCTTTTTCTCTCTGCCAAATTCTGACCTCAGATATATGCATGCAATTCCTGTTGAAGTCAATGTGAGTTGTTCATGTATATCCCAGAAATGTGGTCCATTTTTGCTTTGTTGATTTATTTTGCTATTTCTAAGAGTGGAGCTGCTTGTTGGCTCCTTTTCAAGCTACCTAAGTAATCTTAGTTGTACACTAATGCCAACAACTGTTCACAGCATGGAGAAAACAACACTCCCCTCTTGTGTGCCTGCCCTTTAAAGGAGACTGGAAACCTCACCATTTCTAGCACAGTTTGGATTGGAAACACTGGGAGAAAAGCCAGAATAGCCCTTTTCATGGGATTTCTGCTATATCCAGCAGGTACAGAGATGTGGAGATTTTTCTTCTTTTTTTTGTTTTGTTTTTAAGATAGAAAAATCTTTTCAAACTTCAGAAATTCATGTTTTGTTTGGACGAAGAATGGCGAGAGTCAGTTCATATTTTATCCAAAATGTTCCACTATCTCTTGTTTAAATGAAATTTACAAATGAAAAGCCTGATCGTAAAAACATTGTTTAAAAACAATTAACATTTATAAACCACTCTTTCCCGATGCTTAGATAACTTAAGCTGCTCAACACATTTTTATGAAACTTAATTTAAAAAAAAAAACCCACCAAATTTCTGCATTAAGACCAAACGTAAGACATTTCAGACTGAAAGGTAGTGTTTCAAGAAAGTTGTCTGAAAATGGAGATATAGAGCCAAAATGCCATCTCTACCTGTAAGTGTAGATTGTAGATGAAAATGAATAGTTGTACTAGCTTTGCATTCTTATGCCATATAAAGAGAGAGAGAGAGAATCTTGAGAGGCAGAGTAGTCTAGTGGATGGTGCAGTGGGCTGAGCATCAAGAGCCCTGGGATCATTTCCATACCCTTTCACTGACCTCTATCTCTCTATACTTATATTTATATTTCCCCTCCCCTCCTTTGTCCGTCTTCTCCATTTAGTCTGTAATCTTGTTGAAGCCGAGACTGGCTCTTATGCATTTGTACAATGCCTAGTACAATGGAACTATGATCTCATTTGAATCCTCTAGGCATGACTGTGATAGAAAATAAAATACATGTATATAGTTACAGAGCCTGTGTATCTCAAATATGGATGATTATTTTATTTGTTTTAGTGTATCCCTTGGCTGCAATTGAATGATTTTTTCTCTTTTTAAATATTGGGCTGTCCATCCTTAAATCGGAGCTTAAAATAATTGTTTAGGGTGCCAAGGTAGTCTCTAACTTCTTGGCCTTACTGTCAGAGAAGTGAAAAGTCAACTTCTATATGCAGGAGTCAGTTTTAGGACTTTTCATAAATATAATAAGGTAAATGGTTTAAATGAGAATATCCTACATGCAATATCAAAGCCTGTTTAGAAGAAGAACACAGGGAATAGAACAAATAATGAAAAAACAATGCAGCCAAACTCAGAGAGCTATATCGTGGACTTAGACAGTCAATGGAAAATGCAGAGCAGCATTTGATAAATTATTAGATCTGGTAGAGGCTTATTGTAGTAACAGTTAATGATTGTCTGGGCCCTCGATCTACACGCACAAGTATTTAGGCAAGTATAAAATCCACTATTAACTGAAGAGACCTGAATCAATGCAAATTCTCTTATGAACATGTTCACTTTGTTATATGCATTGAATTATCTTTCCTTTCTGTAAACAAGTTAAATCATGCCAGGTGTTTGTGGAAGCAATGATGTCATCAGAGCCTTTTATGGCAGGGTGTTTTATGAGTCACTTTGCTCTTACTCCATATTTGTATGTCTCCCTTACTGCTCAGGGGAGCAACGAGGGATTTGTAATCTGTCACATCTGAAACTTGATTGTAGCACATGGCTGGAGCACAGATCCTGAGCATTAGTTATCATCTGAATGCTTTAATTCACTGTATATCATTTGAACTCAGCTCTTCAGAGCAAGCAATACAAATGTCAGATCTGTTTCCTGCCTTCATGTTGTTTTTTAGAAAGATCTTCACAGTGGAGGGAGTTCATAAACACGTGAGGATCACATTCCAGTTAGTAAGTGAATTATCCCAGACAAGAACCTGTGGCCAAACAACATTTTCTTCTGAACAAAATAAATTAAATTATTTTGCATACACTACAAGATGTTTCCTAATTTATGATCATCCAATATATACAGTTGAAGCCAAGATCTCAGAAGAAGAGATTAGACTTTATATGGATGGTGAACATTCAGAATTAAATGAGACAGGATGAAAATTTGTATCATAAAAGATAAAATACTCATGCTTCAGGGCATGAGCCAACCACTAACTGACAGGGCTGGGAAGAAACAGATGTTCCATAATTTTTCACAACAGAGTTTTTTAGTGCCCTTCCCTGAAGCATCTGGTACTGACCACTGTCAGTGATAGGATGCTGAATTTGATGGACCATTTGTGTGATCTAGTGTGTAATTCCTATGTAAAAATGTAATCCAGGATCTATTTTTTAATTTGGAAACCCTGAAGTGTATTCCTTTCTGCCTGTCTGAGAACATTCAGACAAAAGATTATTTTTGTTCTCTGAGTATTCTTGTAGACACTGACTTTCTTTCTAAGACAACTTTACTGTAAACAGAGCACAGATTTGGATCTGCATTTAAGAGAATTAGTTTGACATTTCAAGGGATGTCTATAGAATGTCTCTCTTCAGTAAGAAGACTGAACATAGTTAGCTAGATGTTGGAAGTAGTGCACACAGGTGGGCTCTTTTTCACTTTTGGTGGGCCTATCCACTGCTTCAAACACCCTGGAAGGAAATATTAGTCTAGTTCAAGCATACTGCTATCCTTTATCTACTCATTGACATATCTTTTGGGGGAGAGTAGAGGGCCCTGCATTCTCAATCTTAAAATTACATTAGCTACTATGGGACTTTCAAACTGTGTTTTATAGACCACCAGTGGTCAATTCTTTCCAGTGGTCCAATGAATGAAACATTTTGAGAACGATACAGTGGTGGATCAGGGTGTTGTGATGAGAGGAGCACAGAGAGGATCACTCCTTTACAAATTGGCCTGCAGAAAGGAAATACTGGAGAAGCACTGAGCTACTGCATGCATTTAATCTATGCTGCTAGTCACACAATTGCCCTAAAAATAGGTTGCTCCTAATCTAGAATGCTGGTGATGTCAGAAGCATGATGTTGCAGTTACAGGTAAGGCTTACTGACTCTACATGACACAAAAAAGAGGTGCTGCTAAGTCTGAGACCTATTACTGATGCATTTTTGTGCTTCCAGCAGCTAGTGACCTTCCGTGTTGGACTTTCTCAGCTACTATGTGCTGGACAGTTTACAAGACGTATCCGATCCGGTTCTGTTTCCTCTTTTAGTTTTCTGTCCTTCACTACAATGAGATGCTCTGTTGAGGACTGCAAGTAAATATCTAGAAATCGCAACTCAATGCTTCATATTAACAAATGACATGTAATATAGAAATCTGTGCTGAGATAAAGCCAGTTTCTTTAACTTAACTACAGTGTTCCACACTGTACAATATTTACTAGAGCTTTTCAAATGTTTGCTTCTCATTAAAAAGGACATTTTTAAAGTGGCTTTGATTTTAAAAATGACATTTGTAATCAATAATGTAGTGTAATTCCTTAGGGAATTAAAAATACTGTTATTTGTAAATGTTTATTATGTCCCCTGCAAAATTTTATAAAACACTTAAAACTTTGTCCATCAGCCTGATTGAGAGAACACAATAAAATGGCAACACCACTTTGAGTCTATTTTTTTTAAAAATGACAGGAAAGGAGACAATGGGACTAGCCAGAGGGCTGTGAGAAGGAGAAGATGAGTGCGGAAATAAGAAGAAAAAGTGGCCCAAGGGAAAATGCAAGTTCTCAGGGGACAATGGATCAATACTGAAGTTAACTATGCAATTCCAATGACAGCAAGTTACATTTTGTAACACTTCTTTCACATAGCCTTAGATGTCCCTGTGACGTGCCCAGGCTACAGTCCGGACTAATGAGTGGCTTGTGTCAACCCTGCCTTCTAACCTGGGGTGCCCTTTACAGTCCTTTGCTGCTGTAACCTCCAGTCTGGACTGCACACAAACAGTCTCTGGCAGGCAAGTCATGCCCAGCTAGCTCTGCGTGTGCTGCAGCCAGCCAGCCACACCTTGGCTCTTACCAGCATTGGTTATGCTGCAGGGTGACTCCAACACACTCACGGTCTTAGATTTCCCCCAGAAATGTATGCCTGGTATTGCCCAGACCTCTGCTGAACAATAAAAATTCATATAAAGTCTGCATTTCTTTAACAAAAATAATACACATACACTTTGTTACCCCAAATGGAGTTTCCCAAACATTTCAGTTTAAACACACTGGATTAGATATAACAATAGAACGAGTTTATCAACTACAAAGAGAGAGAAGATTATTACAATAGTGTGTAGGGTGTGGACACAGGAGTACATTCTGTTACAAACCTTAAGTGTTACTATTCACTGCTCCAAATGTATCTGGTAGACTGGACAAATCACAGCACTACTGCTGCACAAAGTAAGTTACCTTTGAAGTGCCAGTATTTCAGTGGAAAGTTAAGAGTTCAAGGGATGCCACTGCATTTGTCAGCAGCATAGAAGCTGCAGGAGCTGCCAGCTCACCCTCCCCATCCATTGTTTGTACAGTCAGGTGTAAGGAATTCACTTCTTTCACTTTAAGATTGCTCTAATTTGCACGCATCACCCCTACAAATGTTCACTAATTATTTCTCTTTCCTTTTCTTTTCACTTCTCTAGTCCCCTGATCTTTTCTGGTATAACTTGGTCTCCTAAGGGGAAAAAAACCAAATTTCAGTCTGGATTTTTCAGTCTTCTGTAAACCAGTCTCTTTTCTGCTGACACTAGCATCGCTTGACTTCAGTGAAGCCTTTGGGATGGAGAAGCAGCCCATCTTCCTAGATCATATTCTTAACTGTGCAGTTTTCTTTAGTACCTTCTCATCATGGTAGCAGTCCTGTCAAGCTGCTCTGTCTTGGAGCAGAGACTGAACCTCCATCACGGAACACTTGACGTAGCAGATGAATGTTAGTAGTGAAAAGAGCCAAAGTACTTACACAAAAGTAAATAAGTAAAATGAAATATTTTTAAAAAACCCGTCTAAACAGAAATTGTGGAACTAGCTGTGATTCCTCAACTCAAGAAGTCACTACTTCTTGTTACAGTCCAGCCAGCAGCCTCTTTCTACAGACTGTAGGTTCTTTTAGGAGAGACCTTGTGTTCCTACTTTGTTTGTCAAGCTCCAAGCCCACTATTTGGACTATATAAGATGCTCTGTGCAACCCCAGCCAACTCACTGTAACAGAAGGAGACAAGATGGTGGGTGTGACACATATTTTGCACTCAGAGCCTCAATAGCAAGGGCCTCCACCAATGGCGAGCCATGAAGAGGAAAAAGTGCAGTTGATTAAAGATGACTGAGTCAAAGAAGATCAATAAACATTAACTGGCAGACACAAACTCAAAAGTCAATGAAAATGGGGCAAACAGTCAAATAGATCAATGCCATATGAAGAGACGAGAAATGCAGGATGCAAACACAGAGACATGGGACATTAATTTTGATATGTAGCAAAAGACATATGTAAGGTTGCAGGTAGAGTAATGGTACTGGAGATAGCAAAAGCGCTAGGCTAGTACTCAAGAAGGAAGGCATGAGAGAGAGACGGAAACAGGAGAGAAAAGATGATGGGATAGCACGAGGCAGAAAGAGATGCATGGCAAATATTTGGCAGAAAGGAATTAAGAAGAGTTGATGAATGGACAAACACAAACAGAAAACAGGCATGAGAGGAAAAGCGTTAAGAGAAAAGTAATAACAGACAGAAGGAAAATGAAAGTGACTGATTGCTTGTCATGGCTTATATCAGAGCTGAGTGTGCTATATGAGAAGCATGTTTGTCTTATGAAATGTTAATGCCTAGATTGTGACCCTTACCTGAGGAACAGCAGTATGATTGTGGATGAAAACTACACACAGGGCCTGGAAGCAGGAGGAATGTAGAGCTTTTAACTTCCGTTCCTCACTATATTTATTTTTACATTTTGCATTCAGCATGCCATCTGATCAGGGAAGACTAAGTCTGCGGAAGAGAAGAATGAGGGGGGATTTGATAGCTGCTTTCAACTACCTGAAAGGGGGTTCCAAAGAAGATGGATCTAGACTGTTCTCAGTGGGAGCAGATGACAGAATGAGGAGTAATGGTCTCAAGTTGCAGAGGGGGAGGTTTAGGTTGCATATTAGGAAAAACTTTTTCACTAGGAGGGTGGTGAAACACTGGAATGCGTTACCTAGGGAGGTGGTGGAATCTCCTTCCTTAGAAGTTTTTAAGGTCAGGCTTGACAAAGCCCTGGCTGGGATGATTTAGTTGGGGATTGGTCTTCCTTTGAGCAGGGGGTTGAACTAGATGCCCTCCTGAGGTCCCTTCCAACCCTGACATTTTATGATTCTATCTGCTTGCAGGTCAAAACCTCCTCTGACATTGAAACCCCCAATTTTGCACATAGTTATTTGCATGGCAGACCTACATTTGCAAATATTAGGAAGTTTTTGGCTATCCTACTCTCATGTGCCAGTGGGCTTATGGGGAGATTTTTCTCATGAACAACTAAAGGGGCAGTTTTAAAGGCTGTTTTTTGAAAGTTTGTCTCTTACTACACAACTTACTTCAAAAGACCTTCAAAACATGTGCAGGCAGATTTTTTGGGATCAGACCGGTGTGAGAAATATGTAGGTCAGCCCCCACAGGTTATATTTTAGGCTGCTCTCAGTTATTCCTGCAGGATCAGTTCTCTAGGGACAAGCTGCCAGCCAGGAGTTCTTGGCACACAAAGCACTCCGTGCTATATCCCCACTGTTCTCCAGCCCACCCCCAACACAGCTCTATGGCAAAGGAGCCAAAAGTCAGTGAGAGTCAGCGATACAGACTTTATTCCTTCATGAAGAGAATCTCTAACTGGCCCATTAGAGAAGCCAGTCATCCCTTTTGTTCCATCATTGGGCCAGAATCTGGTCATGAGTTTCTTTCTCCTCGTGCCGGAAAAAGAGAGAGAAAATAGGTTAAAGAAAGGAAAATGCAAATCATGCTTAATTACAATATCATGCCTTGGCAACATGACACCCCAGTGCAGTCACACTGATCTATGGCATTACGGAAGATATGTATATGCTCTCCCCACATCACTGTCCTGTCACAATACACAATTCCAAGCTTAAAACATCACTTATTTGTAGCCTTCAACATAATTTTTATGATTCCAATTTTCATTTTTTCCAACTTAATCATTTTTGTACTCCTATAGCAACTGGCTTCCAAATGTAGCAAAGGTAGCAAAAGCTTTAACAACATCACTGTCACGGCTTCTTCTGCATTAGGAGAGTAAAGTCCAGTAAGTAATGACATATGAAATTACTCAATGTCAGCAAAACCTCAGAAGTAGAGTAGAGGTTATTCTGTTCTATACATTGATAAAGGGCCATATTCTTAGGCTTGACTGTGAACTCAAGGAGTTTTTCCCATGGGTTAACAAAAGGTCATTGAAATCCTTTTCTAGCTGTACTTGCGGGAAAGATCCCTTTATCCCTGAATAAGGAGACAGCCTTTTTGCTTCTCATACTTCCTTATCCAACTACATATGAATCACTTCAAATGGAGCCACTTTTCTCTTAGCAACCAAAGAACTGTCTTAGCAACCAGACGCTGAGGATTTTGTTTCCACATAGTTACTGGTGGACAATGGGTTCTCTTCTGCTTGCTAGTTTTCCATGGCAATGCTGTTAGTAATGTTGGCTTAGTATTATCTAAGAAACAGAACACTTAAGAGTCAGCCACTCAGCCCTCACAGAGAACTGGCTTGCTGGGCAGATCACAGCTGTGCTGTAGCCCAGTAAGATTCTCCTCTCTAGGACGTAGCGAAGTGCTGACGGCTGGGAAGCTCAAAGCCCCGTTTCTACCAGTATAAATTTTTGCAAGGAATGGTGTCAGGGAGCACACAGCTATTCCACTCTTGTAATCTCTCAGCAGGAGTTATTATAGGGAAAAATATTGCACTTGTGGATATGGGAAACATCAGAGCAACTGTAACTTGAGCCTCACCTGGGTTGAAATCATTGTAGGAACAGGCATGAGCTGTGGCAGTAGATAATTTGTTGCCTCTTAGCAAATGACGCTGGAGAGAATAAGGTTGAAGGGAATGACTCTGCAAGAGAATACATTTGAGAAAACTATAAACTGCTTACAGTTTGCAAACAGAGGTGAAATTTGCCAAATAAATCCTGGGGAAATGTTGGAGGAGTGCTGGTACGGTGCCCACAGTTACAACAGTCTCCATCTCTCAACACCACACTATTGTAGGGACAGAAATAGCTGGGTACATTTTGATCATGGTAGCAAATTTCAAAATGTTGATTGAAACATTAAATGGCTTAGCACTTTCAGTCCAAGTTTCCTTTCTGTCTCCGCCTGCAGGTGCTGTTGGCATAGTGGAAAGCAATTTGATTTCTTCACTTGTTCTTAAACTGAAAACTGAAATGGATGAAATCCAAGAGTTGATACTGGACACGCTCTCTGGCTGCCTATGTGTAGAGGCTTTTGAAGCTCTAGCAACAGGCGCTGTTCCCATTCTGAAGGAAAAGCTCACTCATCCATCAGTGGCCATCAGGAGCAAAGCTGCCCGTGCCCTTTTGGGAATTAGGTAACGGAAAGAAAGAACTATGCACATGGGTTGTTCCAAGACAATATTTATCTACTGATTGAGTCCCATGCACTAGTTTGCAGTTGTACCACCTTACACTTTAAACTTGTCACATCTCACATTGCAACGTAACATCAGGCTAGATGTATACATGGACTTAGCTGCTCTGGTGTTGGCGATTCAGTAGATGGCACACTTTCCCCTCCACCCCCCACACCTGCCGCCTATGTTAGCAGTGAGCTAATGCCCCTGCATGGTGCTAAGCAGTGCAGCACTGCTGGAAGTACCATTTTGTATAAGAGACAGTGTAGAACCAAAATCCTGATAATTTATGATCACAAAATCGATCCCATAATAACTTTTTGCAAGAGGAGGAATGTTAAAATAAACTAAATTATTTTTTGCCTACCTAAATTTTCATTTGGATACAGCATTCTTCATTTCCTGTTATAAACTTTGTCGTATTTCTTACTATGTACTGTTAAATAGTTGCTGTATTTCATCCTAGAGTAGCTGCATTTCAATGGATAAAACATCCCTGTGTATACTTTGTATATCAGTTCGTTAAGTTGGTAAAGCATTTCACAATCCTTGGAGTAAAATATACAATATAAATGCAATATAAATGTTGTTAATAGAACACTGCAGTATGGTGAAGGATAACACAGTTGGTCACTATGATGTAGTACAGTTCAATATAACAATCTTCCATGGAAATGGCATCATTGTTTATGAAAACTACCATGCTAAGTTCAGCCCAAACAGATGCTGAATAGGGAGCTACAATATGGCAGATCTTCTTAAACAAATGAGATCTGTGCACTGAGGATCCTACTGTGGCTCTTCATTTAAGACTTAAATTCATCATCCACAGAGTACACCAATAAGAGTTTTTAGTGAATCAAACCCAAGAGTTCAACTGCAAGCCTGCATCAAGGCAAGGACCTTGTATTTTATGTTATTTGTACGGTGACCAGACAGCAAGTGTGAAAAATCGGGACGGGGGTGGGAGGTTATTGGAGCCTATATAAGAAAAAGACCCAAAAATCAGGCCTGTCCCTAGAAAATCGGGACGTCTGGTCACCCTAGTTATTTGTGAGGCACCGCATTTAAGATTTAGAATATTAGACAATATGAACACTTGGTTTCTGGCTTTTAAAGGCAAATGGCTGTGGAAATACTAGGCACTCAACCCCAGTGCTCACTGCTAGTATCACCAAAATACCTCAATGAGTATTGAGGTATTATATAGAATCATAGGACCGGAAGGGACCTCAAGAGGTCATCTACTCCAGTGCCCTGCATTCATGGCAGGACTAAATATTATCTAGACTATCCCTGACAGGTGTTTGTCTAATCTGCTCTTAAAAATCTCCAATGACGGAGATTCTTCAACCTCCCAAGGCAATTTATTTCGGTGCTTAACCACCCTGACAGTTAGGAAGCTTTTCCTAATGTCAGCCTTAACAGCCCTTTTTGCAATTTAAGCTCATTCCTTCTTGTCCTATCCTCAGAGGTTAAGGAGAATTTTTTTTCCCCTCCTCCTTGTAACAACCTTTTATGTACTTAAATTGTTATGGCCCCCCGCCCACCTCAGTCTTCTCTTCTCCAGATCCAGTGTTTTCAATCTCCCCTCAAAGGTCATGTTTTCTAGACCTGTAATAATTTTTGTTGCTCTTCTCTGGACTTTCTCCAATTTGTCCACATCTTTCCTGAAATGTGGCACCCAGAATTGGACACAATACTCCAGTTGAGGCCTAATCAGCCTAGAGTAGAGCTGAAGCATTACTTCTCGTGTCTTGCTTACAACATTCCTGCTAATACATCCCAGAATGATGTCTGCTTTTTTTTTCCCAGTAGCATAACACTGTTAATTCATATTTAGCTTGTGATCCACTATGACCCCCAGATCCCTGTCCACAGTACTCCATCCTAGGCAGTCATTTCCCATTTTGTATGTGTGCAACTGATTATTCCTTCCTAAGTGGAGTACTTTGCATTTATCTTTATTGAATTTCATCCTATTTACTTCAGACCATTTCTTGAGATCATTTTGAATTTTAATCCTAACCGACAAGCACTTGCAACCCCGTCCGCAAACTTTATAAATGTATCTCTATGCCAGGGGTCTCAAAGTCCCAGTCCATGGGTCACATGTGGCACGAGAACCTCCCCACTGCAGCCCGCAGAAACTTTTTAAAAAGTTCTTTCATCCAGCCCTCATGGCTGCTGGCGGGGTCAGGGGACAGAAGGGGAGTGCACTGGAGAGATTTACATGCCCCTCCCCCAACGTTGCTCCATCCTGCTGCTCCTGGGACCCTCCCAGGGGTTGCATTCGGCAATGTGTCGTTCACCTCGGTCAGCTCCGCTCTCTGCGAGCGGTTCCCTATCCCTGCTGTCACTGGCAGAGCCACAGAGGACAGACTCACGCAGACACACTGCCTGCTACAAGCGCCGCCCCCCCATAGCTCCCAATTGGCTGGGGGAGAGGGACAGAGATACCATTACTAGTTGTTGGGCAGAGTCATCCATGCAGGCAGTGTCACTAGTCGCCGGTCAGAGTCAGCCGGGGCAGCACATGAGGCCAAGGGAGTGAGGAAAAAGGGTGGGAAACGGGCTGGGAGGTGGTGTGAACACCATCTTCAGTGACATTATTGGCTCGCTCAGAGGATTTGAGGACTGGTACTGGCCCTAAGGTAAATTGACTTTGAGACCCCTGCTCTGTGCCATTCTCTAAATCACTGATGAAGATACTGAACAGAACTGGACCCAGAACAGATCCTTGAGGGAACCCACTTGATATGCCCTTGTAGCTTGACTGTGAACCACTGATAACTACTCTCTGGGAGCAGTTTTCCAACCAGTTATGCATCCATCTAAAAGTAGCTCCATCTAGGTTGCATTTCCCTAGTTTGTTTATGAGAAGGTCACGCGAGACAGTATTAAAAGCTTCACTAACATCAAGATATACCACGTCTACTGCTTCCCCCCTATCCACAAGGCTTGTTACCCTGTCAAAGAAAGCTATCAGGTTGGTTTGACACAATTTGTTCTTGACAAATCCATGCTGACTGTTACTTATCACCTTATTATCTTCTAGATATTTGCAAATTGCTTAATTATTTGCTCCATGATCTTTCCGGGCACAGAAGTTAACCTGACTAGTCTATAATTCCCCAGGTTGTCCTTATTTCCCTTTTTATAGATTAGCACTATATTTGCCCTTTTCCAGTCTTCTGGAATCTTTCCCATCTTCCATGACTGTTCAAAGATAATTGCTAATGGCTCAGATATCTCCTCAGTCAACTCCTTGAGTATTCTAGGATGCATTTCATCAGGCCCTGGTGACTTATTTTAGCCTCTGATCCTACTCATTTTCACTGGCATTTACTATGTTAGATGTCCAGTCACTACCAACCTTTTTGGTAATAACTGAAACAAAAAAAGTCATTTAACACTTCTGCCATTTCCACATTTTCTGTTATTGTTCCCTCCCCCCAATTGCGTAACGGGACTATTTTGTCCTTGGTCTTCCTTTTGCTTCTAATATATTTGTAGAATGTTTTCTTGTTACCCTTTACCTCTCTAGCTAGTTTAATCTTATTTTGTGCCTTGGCCTTCCTAATTTTGTCCCTACATACTTGTGTAATTTGTTTATATTCATCCTTTGTAATTTGACCTAATTTTCACTTTATGTCGGACTCTTTTTTGAGTTTCAGATCATTGAAGATTTCCTGGTTAAGCCAGGGTGGTCTTTTGCCATACTTCCTATCTCTCCTATGCATTGAGCATGTAGTTTCAACACTAACCACTCTGCCACGAACTGACCTCTCCCCTGTCCGGTTTGTAGCTCTAGCATGGGTGTTTAAAGTGCCCTCTAACATTCAGAATAATCTGGCTCCAAACAGAACAGAAGAGAATTCTGCATCAGCATTCTTGTTATGAAATGAAGGGGGGGCATGGTAGGTGACTGTAGTCAGTTGTACATGTACAACTCACATGACTGGAGTACTGTCATGGATGGATATAAACTGTTCAGGAAGGACAGGCAGGGCAGAAAAGGTGGGGGAGTAGCACTGTATGTAAGGGAGCAGTATGGCTGCTCAGAGCTCCGGTATGAAACTGCAGAAAAACCTGAGTGTCTCTGGATTAGAAGTTTAGAAGCGTGAGCAACAAGGGTGATGTAGTGGTGGGAGTCTGCTATAGACCACCGGACCAGGGGGATGAGGTGGATGAGGCTTTCTTCCGGCAACTCACAGAAGTTACTAGATTGCAGGCCCTGGTTCTTATGGGACACTTCAATCACCCTGATATCTGCTGGGAGAGCAATACAGCGATGCACAGTCAATCCAGGAAGTTTTTGGAAAGTGTAGGGGACAATTTCCTGGTGCAAGTGCTGGAGGAACCAGCTAGGGGCAGAGCTCTTCTTGACCTGCTGCTCACAAACCGGGAATCTCCTTCCTTAGAAGTTTTTAAGGTCAGGCTTGACAAAGCCCTGGCTGGGATGATTTAGTTGGGGAGTGGTCCTGCTTTGAGCAGGGGGTTGGACTCGATGACCTCCTGAGGTCCCTTCCAACCCTGATATTCTATGATTCTATGATTGTTGACATAGGTTCAAGAAAGCACTTTAACCTTCTCTCTTCCTCAGTGTCCCTCTGGAAGGAAAAAATGTTGTGTGGGATGAAGAGGTTATCCCAGTGCTGGTCAGCCTGTTGGAGGATTCAGATCCCGAGGTCCAAGCCAATGCAGCAGGAGCACTGATGAATGCCACCATTACGACCCAAGGTGAGAGAAGCAGCTCCTGCTGGGATACTTCCTGTAAAGCAGAGAATTCTTCGTTCAGCTATCAGACTAGTGCCATTTGATCAGCTGACAGTTTTATTTCATAACTTTCCAAGATAAATTTAAAAAAATCTAGGTTCAGATAATGCTAAAGTTGTTGCAGAAACTAGTAAAAACAGGACATTTCATTAGGTCTGTCCCTCAGCTACTTTGTTCACCCATAGTGTCTAGGTATTGCAATATAGTTGGTTTGATCTACCTCCACTGGCTCAGGGAAATGTATGTCAGATCTACTTGTGCCTGGGGAAGATTCACTCTGGCAGAGGGCAAGTAATGGTTATAACGCCACCCTCCCTCAAAGATGCTATTAGGAGGAAGCCTTAAGTTCAGGTCAGAGTCCCACAACCCGCAACTGCCCTGGGAATGCTTTGAACCTGCAATCCTTAGCTGAGAGCAGGAGTGCCTACGTTTTCCATTACTTTCCTGTAGTTTTGTGTGTGCTTAAAAGGTACCGTTTCCCCCAGCAACCGGGGGGGGAGTGGGAATTGGAGAAGTGCATAAGTTCTCATCAAAGTCAGATACATGACTTTGAAAACACGAATGGGTAACTTTTCAGTGTGCTGAATGTGTAATTGGACATACAAGAATCCTTAATAACAGTAATTGTGTTTCAATCCTCCTCTGCCTACCATTGCAAATGGTCCCCTTGCTCTGGAACATAACACAGGAGTGGATCTAAGTATTTACTTAGACGGTCTTAGAAAAGAAAAGAATGTAGGGTGTTCCTGAAGACATTTGCCCTGAGACATTTTTTCTTATCATTTGATGTCTCTTGAGATCGAAGTGATTCTTTTCAAAGTAAAATAAATAAAATGTGGAAAGTAGGGGGAGTTAACTAAAGTAGTGGGATTGCTCTCTTAAGAATAAAAAATTGAGGTTTATTGTGGTCTCTAATAGAGATGGGCTGAACCAAAACCCACAACTCTCAGCACTACCAAACACTGAAGTGTTCAAAATCTAGAACCAGAGCTGGAGATAGAACTAGATCTCTTTGTAGTGTGTGGTCACGGCTGTTTATTAACAGGTTCAGGCTTGTTAAGTGGTTATTTGATTATAGTCAATAACAAATTTTAAGTCTAATTATTTCTTGCTCAGGGAAATTTGCAGCTCTTAATGCAGATGCCATTCCACCTTTACTGAAGCTGGTCAATGATGAAACCAGCAAAGTACGCTTGAATGCAATCAAAGCCCTAACCATACTGTCTGAGGCACCTGAGGGTCGCAAGACACTGCTGAATCATGTGGACCTCTTTCGAGGGCAGTTGAATGACTCCAGCGAGGCTGTAAGCAGAGCAGCAAAAATTGCCATCAAAGTCATCGAATGGAAACCTTAAACCCAGGGCATCATGAAGCAATAAAATAGCAGCAAAACCCCTGCACATTGTGTGACAGACTTTTTCTCAAATGTTCTGTATTAAATCCCTACCTGTTTTAGCACATCAAGAGTTTTACTTCATCTACAACTGCTCCTCAGTATTTCTGCCCATAGAAATCTATAGGGAACAGTGTGGTCTTGGGGTTAGAATAGGGAACAGGGAGTCCCTGAAATATTTACTTTATTACTCCAGTATGGCCATTCTGTGTAACTATCTTTTACCTATGATAAGTGAAGGTACTATAGCTGGGGGTTACATCCCACACTGTACCTTCTCTGTCCTTCTTCAAGGCACCAAACTGTATGGCAAGCAAATGTTGCAGTCCCTCAAATTCTAGAACTTTAAAACCCACTCAGGGGTTCATTTTTCCTAGAGCTCAGTAACATTTTGTAAAGGAGTCAAACCACTCATGCCCTCTCATTGAGCTCCTTGGCATAAGCCAAAGGGAATCAACCTATCTTGGAGCATCCTAACATTCCCTGAAAGAGCTGTCACATCTTCAGAGCCCCCTAGCATCTTCTGCAGGGGCTGCCCAATCCTGGAGCTCTTTGATTGTTTATGCTTCTGCAGGTGATTTTTCTGTGACATCTCTTGAGTGGAGACTACCATCCACTATGGTACTATGTATCTTCTGAAGGCTCCATGTCTTTCAGGATCTCCATGATGTTCTTTGATGAAGCCTAACCCCTTCTTAATAGTTCAGTCCATTTTCTGAAGGGGCGAGGAAGGCAGGTTACATAGTTACACCTAACTGGACATTATTCAGCTAATAAAGCCCGACTTTTCAGTGCAAACATCACAGATAGTCCATAGTCCAATGGTATCGTCCATAAGCAGACTTTCCATCTGTAAGAGGGCATCGACAGTCCTGACAAAGCCCAGGACACTGGGCAGTTCACCCCATGTGGGCCCTCGATACACTCTCCTGGAAGACGTGGCTATCTATGCAGCTCCAGAGTCCATAGTTTTTGTGGCACCAACACTGTTGTGGAAGGTCCCCACTCCATTGATGCAATATTTGCCAGTACCAGGGCCTTGCTGGGAACTGGAGGCTCAGCCTCCATCTCTTTCCTATCCACCTCTGACAGAAACAGGTCCCATCAGCCCCAGTGAAGGAACACAAGGACAAATCTATTGGACAAATATGAGTCAGTACTGTCACTCCCTTCAGCTAGCCGACAGAGGTCTATCAGTCATGACATGGCTTCCAGATCAACTCCATTTCCCTGCCTTGTCAAGAGTAATTCTAGACCAGGGACCAATGGTACCGAGCATGGGGATCACCTCTCTTCCACTATGATCCACCACAGTGGATTTAATCAAGCTCCTGGGATCCATGCTTCCGGGCATCTGAGTATGAGGATCCTGAGTTCCTCACCCAGCAAAGTAGTAATCTCCATGGGAGCAGCTGATGGAGGAGGATCAACCAGCACCACCTGCTCTCCAGACAAGGCAGTATCACCAGTCTCTCCCTCGCGTCCAGATGATTGTAACCAGTAGCAGGCCTTCTCAGGAGAATTGCAGCACTCTCCAGACTCCTCTGGAGGAGGTCCAGAATGAAACCCTTAAGCTCCTAGACATATTTCAGGCTACAGCTCTTTTTAAAATGGCACTCATGATTAATGAGGCTATCATGGAATCTCCCAGTGTAGTCTGGCATATGTCTGCATCCGAGCCCCCAGCCCCAAAGCAGGCTGAGAAGCATTACTTCTCTCCCTCCCCACCCCAGGGGAGTGGAATTTTTCCCTCCTTAACCCCAATTCCCTGGTGATGCACACAGTTACAGAACCAAGTCGGCTATACCAGCCCAAGTCCACTCTTCCGGATAGAGATACCATGCAACTAGACATCTTTGGAAGGAAGCTGTTTTTCTTGGCTAGCTTAGCATTCCGGATAGCAAACTAACATGCTTTAATGTCCAAATATGACTATTTACATTACAATAAGCTATCAGAATTTGTGAACAAGCTCCCTCAAGAATGTGGACCTCAGTTCCAGGACATCCTGGATGAAAGAAAGCTAGATGCACAAACTTCCCTCCAAGTGCCCCTCGATGTGGCTGACAGCGGCACACTCTAGGGCTACTTCGATAGTCATGAGAAGAGATTCATGGCTACAGGCCTCTAGTTTCCCCAAAGAGATCCAAACCACAATTGAGAACCTCCTATTTAAGACTACCAACTTATTTAGTGACAAGACTGACGAGTCGCTACATACCCTCAGAGACACTTGTGCTACCCTCTGCTCTTAAGGTATTTTTACTCTGGCACCCAGGAGAAAGTATTCTAGGATTCCTCCACCTCATCATCATTCATTGCCTCCATCCTTTTTCCATCAGAGGACAGATGCAATGGAGTAGACACCCAGCACCACTGCCCTCCTAAATGCTCTCTAAGCTGTGTGGCAGCGTGGCTGCGCAGCAGGCTATCAAGTGCCACGCACTTCAGGTGCCCCTCTCCCCACTGCTCCGCCGCTCCTGGGAGCCTCCTGCTTACTGTGCGGAGCTATGGGGGGGTGCTGATGTCAGGGCATCCTCTCTCCCCCTGCCCCTGTACCCCATCTCTGCAGATGAGGGGGACGTGACAGGGCTCAGGAGTGGGATGAGGGAGCTTGCTGGTGGCTCCTGCTGTATCTGTTTTGAGTGCCGATCTACTTAAAAGGGCAACATATTTAAAGGGGCAACGCATGTCTCTCTCACACATACAACAGTGTCTGTCTGTCTCTCTTTCTCACACACACATTGTCTTTCACACTCACCTCCTAACACATACTTGTATTGTTGTTGTTGTTGCTTCTTGATACTTCCTGCAATGCACATATATTCTCTGTAATTTTATTCTTTCAAAGTGCTGTTATTTGAGTTTTTTGACTGGTCTATGCATTTAATAATTTGTATTTCTCTCTTATGCTTAAATTTAATTCTTTGAATAGTGAGTTCTAAAATGCCTAACCTGTCCTGGTTGGAGTAATTATCCCTATGGTAACTTTTAAAAAATATATATTGTATCTAGGTTTTTTGTTTTTACTGGTGGCGCACAGCTGCACATTACCTTGATATTGGTACACAACAAAATTCATTCTGCACAGTAATGGAAAAAATTAGAGGGAACATTGCTGCCCTCCACTTCTCAGTGTCATCCACCTCCTAGGAAGGTGTTTTGATGTGGTGCCCAAGACTCCACAGTCAGTCTCTAACACCTGCTACCATCCTCTTTGGGGGCCACCTAGCCCATTTTTTCTCCGATGTGGTGTACCATCACAACAAATGGATCCTGAATATTATATCAAAAGGCTATACTCTAGAATTGCTTCCCCCCAAAAAAACCCTCACCTTCCCATCCCTTTTCAGGGACTCCTCTCACAAGAGGATTCTCAAACAAGGGGCGGTCTCCCTTCTTCAGTTGGAGGCAAGAGTCCACCCAACAATCTCACATAGGCAAAAGGCTTTTGCTCAAGGTACTTCTTCACTCCAGAAAAGAACAAATGTCAGAGACCCATTCTGGACCTTAGCAGTTGAATGCCTTTATATGACATAAACTTCAGAATGACCACCTTGGCCTCTATCATACCCTCCCTCACATCTGGTGGGGTATTGACTGGTTTACAACCCTTGATTTGAAGGGGACACATTTTCATTTGGACCTTCAGCACACTTACAAAAGGTCTCTGTGCTTTGCATTGGGCCAGAAGCACTTTCAATACAGGGTGCTCCCTTTTGGTCTCAGTGACCCCAATGGTATGTACAAAAGTTTTTGTGGTGGTGGCCACGGATAAGGGAGTTTGAGATTTCCTTACCTGAACAACTGGCTGCTCACGGGTTGGTCCTACCAAAAGATACAGGCAATTACCACAGCCACACTTCAATTCTTTCATTCCCTAGGATTTCAAGTCAATTTAGATAAGTCCATATTAACACCCTTGAAAAACATACAGTTCATTAGAGAAGACCTGAACTTTAGTCACAGCAAGGGCCTACTTACCTCTGGACTGATTCCTAGCCATGAAGGATCTCATCAGCCAGCTTCATCTCAGCCCTCCTCCTACAGCCTGGTCTGCTTAGTTCTGTTAGGCCACATGATGGCGTTCTCCTGTGTCACTTCTGCCTCTGTGATGCCTTCGTATCTGGTTAAGGGCAGTCTATGCCCCAAGAAGGAACTCTCTAGACAAGAAGCTCTCTCTTCCTCAAGACATACTGACATTGCTCACATGGTGGGAAAAGAAAGGTAGGTGTGGGGGTCCCTTTTGTTCCCGTATCACCTACAAAGACTCTTATTATAGATACCCCCATGCTAGTAGAGAGGCATCTCAATGGTCAGACAGCTTGAGGCTCCTGGTCCTCACAGGAATCCAGACTACATATCAACCTACTTAGGCTTTGAGCAGTTCTCAAAGCATGCAAGACATTCCTGCCCATCTGTCACACTATGCCCCATATTCTTCATAGAAATATTGTTATAATATGATTATAGCATATCTAAGATGTATTTTATGCAAGATGAGTCTTGTGGATATCATTGGAAAGGTTATGATTTACTAAATCTGATTATCCTATTTGTATGCATGTATCATTTTTTTTATCTAATGTTAGGAATATTGACTATACACCTGTACTACAAAAGTGTTTGCACCTGGGGAATGCCCACCAGACAGAATGCAATCAGTCTGGCTGACTAGCTGGGGACCAGTCAATGGACCATTAGGGAGAACAACAGATCTTTGAAAATGCTAATCTTCCACCTTCCTGGGATGCTACAAACAGCCTTTGACTCATGGCTGCTTTGACACTACAGGGTCATGTGATCATGTCACCTGGTACTGGACTTCATGATAGAATACCAGTATTTTTCCACTGGGAGGGATGGGGGGGACCACACTGGAAAACAAAGGATTCCCGCCATATGTAAAACCTATTTAAGGCAGGGGAGTGACATAATCAGTGTTTGTTCTTCACTGAATCCCCGTCCAGGATGACTGCTGCGAACATCTAAGAAACAAAGACAAGGCGGGGTGGGGGAAGAGCTGAGCCCAGGGTGGAAAGGTGTCTGGCCTGTGAAAGAAATACCTGGAGTTTTAAGCTGCAAGCAAGAGCAACTTGCCTGCAAGAACCTCTGTAATTTGTCTAAAAACAACATTTAGGGTGAGAAATTACTACTTGTAACTGTTTCTTTAGTATTAAGCTTAGCTTGCGTGTTTGTTTCATTTGCTGGGTAATCTGCTTTGATCTGTTTGCTAACCCTTATAATCACTTGAAATCTATTTTTTGTAGTTAATAAACTAGTTTTTGTTTTCTCTGAAACCAGTTTGTGGAATTCATACCTGGGGGGGAAAAGGCTGTGCATATCTTCCTCCACATTGAGGGAGGGAGCGAATTTTATGATCTTACACTGTACAGTTCTATGTGCAGCGCAAGATGATACAATTTTGGGTTTACACTCTAGAGGGGGGTCCACTTGAGTGCTGGGCAATTCCCTAGCTGAGTTTTCCCATGCAGAGCTGATTTCAGTGTTTCAGCTGATTTCTTTCTGCAGCTGGATGTCCCCCTACCTGTGTGTGTGCTGGCGGAGGCTTGAGGACCTGGATCAGCAGGACAGTGTAAGGGAGCCCAGGCTGGTGGAACAGGCGGGCTCAGTGGTACGTCAGGTGGCACCCCAGAAGGGGCGGGGGGAGGCGTAACCCATCACACCATCATTCTGTTCATACTTTTCCATGTCAGGTCAGTCAACATGACCACCATCTACTATATAATTAAGCAGGGAGTAGTGAGATTTCCTGCTTTGTATGAAGACATAATCCACCTTTGGAACCAGTGCAGTGGATCACCCTCTCAGGTGTACACATCCCAGGGCTAATGAATTTATGGACAGACAGCCTCAGCAGGCATTTCTGCATGGATCACAAGTGGAAACTTCACCCAGCAATAGGGCATCCCATCTTGGGATTGTTTCAAGCCAGCACAACAAAAAGCGTCCAGTTTATTGTTCCCGGACTGCCAAAGGCCTCAACCCCAGAGGGGGCACATTCCAGGTACAATTGTCAAAACTGCGGATATGTGCCGTGTCTCCCATCCCTTCTGTTTCCTCAGGTACACAGGAAGATCAAACTTGACAGAGTGACAGTGATATACATAGCACCCTGGTGTCAAGGCAGTTTTGGTTCACAACCATACAACTACTAGTCTTTTGCCCATGCATCCTCCTGCAGCCATTTCAGGGGCTATTGTCCCAGACTGAGAGCAGGGCAAGCCAACCCATAACTTTTGACAGTGTGACTTTTCAATGGATACTGAGCCTAGAGCAAGCCTGCTCTGAGGGAGTTCAAGCCATTCTCCAGAACAGCAGGAGAGCTACTTTGCGAAATGGAAACGATTCTCCTGTTGGTGCCTGTAGCACTGCTTATGTGCAGAGGCATCAGATATCACTCTTGTACTGCCATTTCTTCTCTCGCTAAAGACGTCTGGTTTGGCAGCTAATGGCATTTTCCACTCCCCAGTGAAAAGCTATTTTGTTTTTACTCACCCCATTAGTGCAAAGTTCCTAAAAGGACATTTTCTCCAGTTTTGAAACCAGTCCCTGCCGGGAACCTTAACCTTGTCCTTTCTGCCCTCATGGGACCACCTTTTGAACCTTTAACTTCTTGTTCCCTCCTGCACCTGTCCTTCAAAGTTACCTTTCTGATGGCTATTACCTCTGCCAGAAGGATAGGGGAACTTGGACCCCTTAAGGCAGATCCACCTTATACTATTTTTCACGAGGACAAGGTTTCTTTACACCTACATCCTAAGTTCATATCTAAGGTGCCATCTGAGTTTTACCTTAACCAATCTGAATACCTCTGCTGTGACATCATGAAAGCCCCTCCTCCTCAAACTGACAGGGCCCATTCTATGAAAGCTCAAGTTGTAGCTGTAGCTTCCTTACAGGGAATTCCCCTCTCAAAGACATGCAGAGCAGTCACTTGGAGTTCCCTACACATTCACCAGGCATGATGCTCTGGTCCAAGCTTTGGCCGCAGATGCCTCCTTTGCTCAGTGATCCCCCATTCTGTGGTACAGCATACTTCCTCGCACCTCCTCCTCAAGGAGCAATGCTTGGGAGTCACCCACAATAAATAACTCTAAAGACCATCACTTCAAGAAGAAAGGAAGATTACTCGTCTTAGAGTAGCTGCAGGTCTTTGAGATGTGTGGTCCCAACTGGTATTCACAACCCACCCTCCTTCCTCTCGCTGTAGTCGGAACTGGGGTGCAGTCAGTCCGTGCTGCCCTTTATGCCCTCACATGGAAGTACAAGGAGGCACAGGACACAGGCATGGATCAAGAGACACTATTAAAGAATTTCCAGCCCTTAGCACCCAGAGCATGTGTGCACCTACAATGAACAGCCATAGGGACCACACATCTTAAAACTGCAATTACTATAAGGTGAGTAGCCTTCCTATTTTCCTGCAATAGGAGAAATTGATCCCTACAGGATCCATTCTCTCCCTCTTTTAGTATGAGTTCCTTTCCCTTCCTGATCTTAGCTGAACCAGCAGTAACCAATTTCCATTATAAGCATTTCCTTTAAACGTCCTGAACAGCCCTGTCTATACTTAGAAATTGCCCCATTACTGACAGTTGACAGAGACTTGATGAGACATGCATTCTGTAAAGATGCTGATAGCCATCTTGTCCAGATGCTAACAGTAGTAGTCAACAATATAGCATTTTCCCACTTTAGACAGAACTTAAGATGAGAACATACCAGGAATGCAGGATAAGGATAGAGCTAAATCAATCTATCCCGTAAAAACACAGGTATTGCCATACCACTTTAAAACAATGGTTCATCTAAGTCAGTGGTAAATACCAGATGCATCAGCAGAAGGTGTAAACCTTCATTGTGGACAATTATGCAGTAACTTCCCACAGGCAAATTTTCTGCCTAACCCCAGACAGTTAATGGTTGGCATATGCCCTGAAGCACAAAAGTTTTATATCCTTTACATATTTTAACCTAGTTAATTTACCTGTGGATATATATTATTTTCCTAATAGATGACTATTGATTTTTGTAATGCTACTAAACTCTTTACTATATATTTTATATATTCTGGGAGTGAGTTCCACAGGTTCGTTATGCGTTGTTTTTGTTACTCTTTCAGTACCCTATGGAACAATATTTTCCCAAGCACGAGTGGAAGGACTAGATGTTTGTAGGTCTCTGGAGATGATCTATCACTTGAGTGTAAAAAACTAACAAATAATCAAATCAATTAGTTTAATTTTTTTTCAATCTTTGCAGGGTTTTGTTGTGGCATCTTTTTTGAGAAAAAAATAAACATTGAAATTACTTTTATAAATGAATGGATGAAATAAACAGTGCGGTGAATTGAAGAGGATAATTTTCTACTTCGGAAGAAATTCCTCCCTGAATTTTCCTTGTACTAATTCGCCACTTTTAAAAAAATCGACCTATTCACAGAATTGAAAACAACATAATATTTACATGAGCAGCTTTGAGTAAAACAGCTGCCAAGCAACACAAATATTGACTTATGGAAACAAAATTTGTGAACTCTGGACTCCATTGGTTCCTGTTTTAAAAGCTGAGGGATAGTTGTTAAAGAACAGGAGAGAGAGAGAGTTAAGAATCACCTTACTCACTACAGAACAGATGACTTACAATGGTTGGTGACTTGGTTTCAAGACGATGGAAGTGTTACATTATTAGATGAGAATGGTGATAAAAATGTCAGATCCCTACTCAGGAAACAAGAAGTCCATACTATATAGACCTGAGTCTTAGGCTCAGTTGCACCCCTTGGGTGTGTGAATGCATCATGCTTCCCTCCCAAGTACCGCACTGGTACTATTACATCTGCCCGTTTAAAATGCATGCGTCATTTCAGTCACAACAATTTTTTTCTATACTGGCCTCATATTGTTGTGTACATATATTAATTAAAAACTAGTTTTAAAATGTTAAATTCCACATACAGTACAGCAGTGATCCTTTGTACGATCCTATTTGCATTATGAGGCTATGTTTGCCAGATTGCTGCCAGACTGTGCATAACAATAGATTAAACTCATTTGCTTTGGTAGAGCGCTGCTTGCTGCAGTATACTGCAAGAAGTGTGAATTGCACAGATAAACATTTGCAGTAGCAAAGTGGAGCATGCTGCATAATGGTGAAAGTATTAAGCAATACATATGATACAAAGAATGCTACAGGAGAATGTATGCTAGTGCAGAAATAATCCCAATTATTGCAACACAATGCATCTACCCATTCTACTCTATCTAAGCCATAGTAATTCTTGAGCCCTTGTCACCTTGGTATCTAAGTGCATGGTATCTCATGCTGTAAAATACTGCAGAGGAGCAGTGTGTTGTGATGCACTGCATTGACACAGTGCAGAAAACTGTGGAATACCACAGGAGACAAAGGAACAAAATACAGGTTTACCTGCAGTATCAGAAAATTGCTTTAATGCCATCACTGTATCCCTGCCCCTCAAGAGCCTGAATTAGGAGGGACTTTTTAATTTTTCAGTTTAAATTTGTAGTGGCTCATAATGCCTCCCCCACAACTTCATGGTGATCCCTGCATCTCCCTGCTAAAAATCAGACCCTCAACCTCAGCTCGATATCTGAGAGTTCCCCTCCAGGATCTGATCCTCCTGTTCAATCTCATGAAGGGCTCTGGGACCCTCAGATAGGGCAAGAACAAACTAAATGGGTTAGATGGTCTTAACCAGGATTTGCCACATTCCTCAAAAAAATATTATAATGCAACCTTTCTACAATAAATGGCACAAAATAATCTCATTTCTTATTAGAGGAACTAACAGAGAAGGAAGAACCATAGCTATGCATGAATTATACAGCAGAACTTCCAATGTGTTGTGGACACAAGACCAACATTCCGGTGCCAAGAACATTCATCCATGTTACGGATTACCACCTAGTATGTCCTGTAGGTCAGTGTATTCCTAGCCCTTCCTGTAAAGTGGTGATCATGAAATGAAAGGACAGATTATAATTTAGCAAGATTGCACTGGGGAATCAAGCCAAACAGGAACATATATATATGTAAGGAAGATTTCACACACAGAGAAGTAAAGGGATCTGCGGGTCATAGTGGACCACAAGCTAAATATGAGTCAACAGTGTAAGGCTGTTGCAAAAAAAGTGAATATCGTTTTGGGATGTATTAGCAGGAGTGGTGCAAGCAAGACATCAGAAGTAATTCTTCTACACTGATTAGGTCTCAGCTCGAATATTGTGTCCAGTTCTGGGTGCCACATTTCAGGAAGAATGTGGACAAATTACAGAGAAGAGCGACAAAAATGATTAAAGGTCTATAAAACTTGATCTATGAGGGAAGATTGAAAAAACTGGATTTGTTTAGTCTGGAAAAGAGAAGAGTGAGAGGGGACATAACAGTTTTCAAGTATGTAAAAGGTTGTTACAAGGAGGAGGAAGAAAAATTGTTTTTCTTAACCTCTGAGGATAGGACAAGAAGCAATGGGCTTAAATTGCAGCGAGGGAGGGTTAGGTTGGACATTAGGAAAACTTCCTGTCAGGATGGTTAAGTACGGGAATAAATTGCCTAGGGAGGTTGTGGAATCTCCATCACTGGAGATATTTAAGAGCAGGTTAGACAAACACCTGTCAGGGATGGTCTAGATAATACTTAGTCCTGCCACAAGTGCAGGGCACTAGACTAGATGACCTCTCAAGATCCCTTCCAGTTCTATGATGCTATGAAATAAATGAAATGTTTACATATTGTCAGAAGGCCTAAAGTAAACTTCGAAGAGAAAGTCAATCATGTACAAAAACTATAGGTGAATGAAATTTAGCAGAGCATTTTCCTGAAGCTTAATTGTTTCTGAAACACTAGATTAGAATTTTACCTGTAGGGCTCTTAGTGCTTCTACTCTTCATCTGTTAGGCACGTTTAAATTCAGAATTTAACAATTAATCATTTTAATTAATACAAATCTATATTTCACATAAGTTTCTCTCTGTACAATTAACAAATTTAAGATTTCTCTTTTGAAGAACACAGTGCAATCTCAAAACAACAGCACTAGAGTTATTTAGGTCATCATAGCAACACTGATTTATAGGTGGAAAATATCCATAGCCAAATACAAGCATGCTAAGTTACTCGTATTTGTTACTTCTTAGTAAATGCCAACAATGTACTCAGCACAGACAGAGACATAAAATAAGACCGTCCCAGTCCTGAAAAGCTAACATTCGAATAGAAACAGAGACAACAGGATGGATGCACTGCGAAGCCTTGAGGCAGGAATAACTTAGAGGTCATTTGGATTTGTTAATATTCAATTTGGTTGAGTTCTTTGTGGTCATCTCCTGTGAGATGATGACAGTGACACTTACTTACCTGTCTCCAAATGGGCAGCCAAAAGTGCTGATCAAGTTTCTCTGCATAGCTTCCTTCTCTTCCTTGTTCAATTTTGGACTTATATTCTGGCTTAAGCACAGAACCGGTTATGTCTTGAAACATCCCTGCTCTTTGTCAGGTACATCTGTGTTAAATTCATGAGAGCGCACAATAGAGGAACATGCAAAGTCCTAAAATGTGGTGCATGTGTAGAATCAAAACACTATCAATTAAGGACCTGACCCAGTTTTCACTGAAGCCAATGGAAAGACTCCCATTGAGTTCAATGGGTGGTAGATTGAGTCCCAAAACAATATCTTACAGTTACAGAGTACTCTGAAGTATCTTTACAACACATCTACATTTGAGTTAACAGCCCCTAATTTGTGGGCTTGACACTTATGTAAAAGAAGTCTGGGGGTTAGCGGCACAACAGCTGCATCAGCAAAATGTGGCTAATTGACGGTACGTACATTCACTGACTAATTAAAGACCACTGAATAGTCCCCACATTTAGTTACTGTAAGCCTTAGACTCCTTGTTCTTTTCAGTTGATGCCACCGTTTTTCAATTGACTATACCAAGTGATATAATTGCAAAAGACTTAGTCACTCACAAATGCTAAAAATCCCTTTGAATTGCCTCATGCATATTATAAATACTTAAATTAACATGTCAGGAGCTGGCATCCTCATACCCTGTAATTTAGCCTGGTGTTTCTGAGGAAATGTGTTGGATACAGCAAGTCCTTGTTTTTAGCACTATGTTTTTATGCTCCCCAAAGTGTTGTTCTACATTGTGACGCCATCAGCATGTAGACAAACTCGTACATCGATAATAATTTATTTGTCTTTTTAGCTTGATGCCAACAGCGATTAAGACCCAGCTATAATTAATATGGTCATGGATCAATGAGATGAGTTCACTTACACATGCAGAGATCACATTTTCAGCTTAGCCAGCCATCACTGTCAGTTAATGAAGAAGGTTTTCTGATTACGAGAATGACAGATGAAGTGGTGCGGGCGGGTAACTATGCTCACTGGGAGTGGAATTCACCCCTATGTATAGGTCTTGTGTTGACCCTTTCCATGTGGGGGAATCTCATCCTGGAGGCACAAAGGTTTATATTGTTTTTCTCACCCTTATTTTCTGGAAGGATAAGGACCCGCCGACTGAATCTGCTCACGGATATGCTTACCATGTGTTCTTATATGCTGTTAAAATATGCTCATCTGGGGCAGGAATTAAAAGCCATTAAACACCAGTGTAAGTTTTAGAAGCTTTGGGAAACGGCAGCTTTTAATTCTATTTTTTGATGCTCCAAAGGAAAATTTTTCTCCCATCTTTTTGTGTGAAGAGTTGTAGGATCAGACTTATGTCAAAAGGAAAAGACATCAGCTGGCATTTTGTCTAAGGAGAAAGTAAAAACTAAGTGAGGACCTTCAATTTTGGTTCACTGTTAATTACTATAATATCTGTAAAAAGGAGAACGGTTTGTCATACCCAAATGCAAAACCAGTACACTAAAACTCTGAACCTCAGACCCATGCTAGCAAGGGCAACTGCTTTTGCAGACTTCTCCCTCTATTGCCTTGCCTAGACATCAAGGTGTTGCTATTGATAAAAGATTTCCATAACTATTACAGTGGTCTGTTACAAAGACAATTTTGAATATCAACTCTCAGTTACTTGAGTTTCAGCCTCTTCTAATATAAGGACAGGCTGTGAGGGAGTTCAGTCTGTCCGAGCATCATTCTCTGTAGAGAACAGGTACACGTTCTACCTGTGTGAGTTTACATTTACTCCAGTTTGTGATTCTTCCAGTAAGAGTCAATCCATAGAACAGTGTAAGAGCTGCTGGCTGGGGGCACTCACAGCTACTCTAGCCTGAGCCTCTCACACTAAAGGGAATGGGGCGGGACTGGTGACTTCAGGAAAAACTCAGATGCTCTATCCCAGTCTCTCCCAGCAGGGGTCTCTTGCACTGAAGGTAAAAGTCTCTTGCACTGAAGTCACTGGAGAGAATATATGTGCACCCAAGGTGTTTCCATCCCAGATCTGCACTGGAATTGATCCTCTATACACATTTCACTGAACAATGGCATGAAGCCCTGTTGAATGCAGTTTTCATCATAATTCCTAGTGATCAGTTGTCCTCTGTTGTTACATCTGTTAGTGGTACGTTATTTTAACGTAAGCAGAATGAGAGCTATATAAATGCAGCTCCCTTCCCCTGCTGCTCTAGTTAGCTTCTATTACAGTTGTTTGTGTCTCATGCAGAACACAAAGAAAAACAGCTGGGCAGCCTACACTGCATTAGAAAAAAAAACCTCCTTCACTTGCCAGCAGCCTCTCTAGTTTACTACATTATCCCACTACCTACTCATACCCTCACTGTCCCTCTTCAGCCTCCATCTCCAGTGCAGCAGATTCGTACCTCCCTCCAGTATCTGAATCAAACAAATTCAAGGTCTCGTCAGAGAAAACTACCAGTGTTCCAATACATCATTTACCCCATCTGTCAATCATCACCTCAATACAATACATTGCAATTTGTCATTACCCTTGTGCGTGGACCTCCAGTCAGTTTTTAATATATGGAAGTGTTCCTAGCCAAACCAATTTGGAATGAATTTTGAGTCAGTCTGCGAACAGTTAGATACTTTATTAAATCTGAATGTATTACATCTACTACATTCACTTTGTGCCTTAAGATCTCAGGCCTGTGCGGTGCTGAGTGCTCTATACTCCCCATGGCCTTGGAGGCTAAGGCACTGGATTGGGACTTGGGAGATCAGGGTTCTATTTCTAACTAAGCCACAGACTTCACAAGTGATTTTGCTTCCCTAGTTCACAGCACATTCTCAAGCATATTCATTAATGTCTGGGAAATGCTCAGATACTTCAGTTACAAGGATACAGAAAATAAAATGAGAGTAGGGTTGAAATGAGGGTAATCAGCACTTCACAGGATTTGACCCTAATTTAGTAATTCTATTAACGAAAGATCACACTTGCCTGACAGCATTTGTTCTTTATAAATCAATACTGCTTATGGCTCAGAGTGCTATTAGCCTAGATACTTACAGATTTTTCACTACATGGTTCTTCCTTTATATCACTAGAAATTAATGTAGGTTTGCAGAACTATTTTATGAGAAATGTATACACCTAGATACGAAAACATGACAGGCTATGCTAACCTGTCCCAAAAAATCTCTTGCTATTTGATTATATCATGTCATGAGGGTGCCCTGATGTTTTTCTGAAGTAACTCCACTGACCTCAGAAATTCCAGATTTACAATGATGTGAGACCAGAATCTGCCTCCCCCATCTCTACAGGAAGGGGGATTTTCAATTCCTGTGCACTTTAGTCCTTGACTTTGTCTACTGATATGCACCAGTTTAACAGCACCTATGTGATGCAGACAGTAGTCTGCTAGAAATTGGACTGAAACCACCAACTCGATTAATAAAACCCATGAAAGTGACATCAGATAGTAACACTTACCAACCAACGATGGGGTTGAACGGCTCCATGTCCCGTCACCAATCACTGAGGCACAGTTTCACAGGCAGCTTTTACTAGAACTCCCACAGGGCAAGACAAATTATCCTAAGATGCAGTCAGCTTTGTCTATGGTTGTGAACCCTGGATTCTGCCAGCTCTAGTTGTCAGGTCACTTCACATGTGTTTCAAATGTTTGTCCCTGCAATTCTCAGTCTATATTTTAAAAAAGCTTCATTACTCAGCCTGGGTGGAGAAATGAAACATACAAGCATGACAGACCTTGACTATCAAGAATGCCCAAGAAGGGTGTCATGGTATAGGCTGCTCAGCTTGGCGGGGAGATCCAGCTGTGTTATTTCTGCCTTTATCCAAAAGGTCTGATCTCAGTGTTTTCAGGGTAGTTACAAACAATAGCTAAGAAGGAGCTGCGTCATCCACAAGAAGGGCTCATTTACCAGTTTCTCATCTGCTACAGCAACCCAGAGCCACCGTATGAACAGCTGTAGACCCCTAGACATTGGCATCGGACTCCCAGGTGTGCAAGTGATCAGGACTGAAGAGATCTGATTTCAGCATTTAATCAAAGAGAATTTTTTTTTATTTTTTACATTTTCCATTGTCTTATACAACGAACTCTTGACTTTGCAGACCCCAGACACTTTAGAAAAATTTTAATACATACAAGCCTTCACAGTTAGTGAAATATAATGAATTCCACAGCACAATAGAAGTGATGACTTAAGATGCTCCCTGCTGCTGTATTCATTACAAGAAGACAGTTTGCATTAGGATTTAGATTATACTGATTTGATTTGGCACGGTGCAGTACATGTCAGGATTCTGTAGGGAGACAGAATTATACTGAAGATCATATTGCAGCTGCAAGAGGACAGTACATTCTATTATGCACTCCTCTGAAGTAGCAACAGACTGTGAGACAACAGCACAGTGTGATGAAAGTTAAAGGGATTTACAGAAGACCACATTGGCTTCCCTGTTACATGTTGTAGCACAGTTCACAATGCTGTACAATACTGCTGGTAGATGAGATGCATGTTACACCTCACTGTGTAGGAAGCTGTAGTAGATAAGGCAACAAAGGATTGTAATACAGATTAACTGTGCCAACTGGGAATTTCCCAAGTGCCTTCTCTGTATCCATGCCTCCTGGGGAAGATGAATTAGATGGTAAGAAGTTCTATCTATTTTCACTTTTCAACCTGGACTTGCAGTATCACACATTGTCTCATCATATTGGTCTCTGAGACCCAAACCAGGATCATTGCCTCATCACTGTCTCACAGTCCCAAATAAGGTGAAGACAAGTGGAATGGTTTAGATAGTGTCAGAGCAGAGACTGTTTTCCTTGGGGAAACTATAGTGTAACAGTCTTACTCATGGCATGAATGAAATTTCGTAGCGAAATTGTCAGAGAAGGAAGATTCATAATTTGGCAAGAAAAATACTGTAATGTCTTTGTGTACTTGGAAGCAAGACACAAGGCCAGTGTTCTGATGCTTAGAACATTCACCCATGATAAAGAATTGCCAGGTGGTAAATCCACTAACTAAGAAGGGGAATTAAGAGTACACTAGGGCCTTCCTTATAAAATGGAGGTCTAAAGTAAATGCAAACGGATGCTAACTTTGACATATCATGCCGGGGAATCAAAATCAACAAGAATATATTTTTAAAAATAAAGCTTTTACATTCAAGGATAAATTCATATTAAAACTAAATGTACAGTCTGTGTACGAACTTTTAAAGCTAATCTTGAAGAGTCAGGCATAAACACAACTCTTATTAGGGCTGGCCAGACTTGTTTTGACTAATTTCAAACCAACTCACACAGAACAAATACAAAAGTTAAACTCAGAAGCAACTGGGGTTCATATTTCACTTAGGAGAAAAAGTGAACAAAGAGTCGAGAGGAAACAGTCCACTGGAAAATAGCATAACATATGGAACAGAGACTAGAGGCGGAAAAATTCTACTGAAAAAAATAGCTATAGTAGCAAAGGAATACATCAATAAAATGTCATGCATAGGGAACTTACATAAGGCAGCCTATATTTTGAAAGGATTCATTTATCCTGAATCTATAGCACAGCCCTCCATACAGCTGAACTAAAAAAAACCGGGATCACTTTAGGGATCTAAAGCAAGGAAAAAGGGGCATAGAAATCAAACTAGTTTCACCAACTTCTAAAAATAACAATGAATAAATCAATTTAATGAATTCAATCTCAGCTTACTAGTCTAATACGTGTATCTAGTGTAGTGTTGTTTATCTTTTGAAGAATACAGTGCAAATTCAAAAGGAAAATTAACTTGAGTTAGACCTTCATAAAAACTCTGGAGCGTAAGGTTGGATTTATGCAAAGAAGGCATGACAGAATATAGCCACAGCCAATAGAATGACCCCATTGATGTTCACAATATTTCTCCAGAATGGCACCTCGGAAGTGTCAGTCAGTTTCTTCTCCATCGCTTCCTGCTCCTCTTTGCTCAGTTTGGCCTCTTTTTTCTGATCGAAGCCACAGAACCAGTTGTAGGCCTTCTTCAGGAACCCTTGTCCTTCATCGCCTTCTTCTGTGATAGAGAGAATAACACAATGGTCAAGAAACATGGTGTGTGTGGACCTATAAGATTGGCACTAAAACAAGGTCTCAGTAATACAAAGCATTCTGAAGAGACTCTTGTAATTGAAATAACAGCCCCGAATTCGTGGTCTTAATGATTCAAAAGCTCTCTAAGATGAATATTGTAATTCCACAGCAGACCTGTGAAGTGAGTGATTCATGACCACCAAATAGCATTGCAGTCAATTCTTTTGTACCCTACAAATCCCTATGCTTTCCAGTTCACTAAGAAATCGGTATTTACTGTACCTGTGTTCTTTGAGATCTTAGGCAGACATGTATTCCACCTAGGTATATGCATGGCCCAGTGCACCAGAGCTGGAGAAATTTTTCTTAAAGTACCCGTAGAGGGGCAGTGTTCATGCCCTGTGGCCATAGCCCCTCCCCAGCTACATGAGATAGTGCCACCCTGGCCCTCCTTGAGTTTCCTCACATTGAATGCCTGGAAACGAGATTCTGATGCAGAAGGGACAGAGGGTAGGTCATGGAATACACATCTGCATCACATCTTGAAGAAATAAGAAACCATTTCTTCTTCAAGTAGATGCAGGCAGGTCTTCCACTTAGGTGACGAACAAGCAGTACCCCCTCCAGGAGGCAGGGCTCAGAGTTTACCTAAACAAGGACATCAGGACCACTCTACCACAGCCTCCATCCACCCTGGAAGATGCAGCTACGGCATAATGGTTCATGAACATATGTATCTATGACCACGTAGCTGCCCTGCAAATGTCCAATATGGAAATCATGGAGGAATGCTATGGACATTGCTTGCACCCTTGTAGAAAGAGCTTGCCCCTACTGAAGGGGGGTAGCCAAAGCTATTTCATATGCAGCCTTGATGCAGGATGTTGTCCATTTGTATACAGTCGGTGAAGAAACTGCTTGACTCTTCATGCCATCTGCACATGACACAAACAAACGAGGCAAACCACGAAACCATTATGTCCTGCCCAGACAGAAGGTTAGACATCGCCTAACATATAAGGTGTGGAAACACTGTTCCTCTGGAGAGGAATGTGGCTTAGGAAAGAACACAGGTAAATATACCACCTGGGTCAAATGAAATTGAGAGACCACTTGGGACAAAAATTTTGGATGCAATCACAAAGTCACTTTGTCTTCCGAGAATTGTGTATAAGGAGGCTCTGCCATTAAAGCCTGCAACTCACACTTGCCTTGCTGATGTTATCAACACCAGGAATGCTGTTTTCTGACACAGAAGTGGAAAGGGACAAGATGCCTGAGGCTCGAACAGAGGTCCCATTAAGGCTGCTAGGACTGAGTTAAAGTTCCACAGAGGTACTGGCTCTCAGACCAGAGGATATAGACAAAGGAGCCCTTTTTAGACTCTTGATAACATGGCACTGGAAAAGACTGATCTGCTTTGAATGGCAGGGATGAAATGCCGATACCACTGCCAGATGCACTTTCAATGTACTAAACACAAGACCCAACAACTGAAGGCAAAGCGGGTACTCCAAAATGTCCAGAATAGAGGCCAGGGTTCACTGGATTCCACAGGCTAGTGACCACACTGAAAATCACTTCCATTTTGCTGAATAGGCCATCCAGGTGGAGGGTTTTCTACTGTTAAGGAGGATTTGTTGGATAGCTGCTGTACACTGCTCTTCCTCCTCATTTATCCATGAGATGCAGGGAGCTGAGTGCAGGATGCAAAGTGCAGCCTTGGTTCTGAGGGAGGAAGTCGGGATGGGGAAGAAGTGGTACAAGAGGCTGAAGGTCGGAGAACCAGCACTGTCTCGGCCACACTGGGACAAGAAGGAGCTTGTCCCAATCCAGTTTCAGTTTGAGGATGATCCAAGGAATGATCAGGATTGGGGGAAAGGATGCACCAAGCTGTGAAGATGACCCAGAAGACCTTGTCTTCAGGGATCACTCAGGGAAAAATACTTGCTGAGATGGTCTGCAAGATGATTCTGAACCCCAGGCAAATGAATAGCTGTTTAAATAATGCTCTCCTCGATGCAAAACTACCACAACCTGATCGCCAGAAGGCGGAGCCACCTGGAGTCTGCTCCCCCTTTTTTATTCACATAATACACCACGACGGTATTGTCGGTAAGTATGTGAACCACTGAGTCTCTGATACAGTCCCGAAAAGCATGACGTGCATTGCAGATGGCCCACAGCTCCAGCATGTTGATATGGAGTGATTACTCCTGTTCCAACCACAGCCCTTGTATTTTCAGTGACCCAAGGTGCGCCCTCCAATCCCTCAGAGAGGCATCAGTAACAACCAACATGGTTGGCAAGAGCTAGATAAAGGGAACGCCTTGGCAAACATTCTCTGGATGCATCCACCACTGCAAGAAATCCAGGGCCAGTGGAAGAAGATGGACCAGTCTGTCTAGAGGGTGAAGAGTAGGATGGTAAACCTTCCTGAGCCACATTTGAAGGTGCAGACTTGCAAACTGGACCACCTGCATTCAAGCGGGAATGCAGCCCAAGAGTCTCAGACACGTCCAAACTGTTGTGGAAGGCTAAGACTGCAGACTGAGGCAATGGTGGTGAATTATCTGAAAACAGTCAGTCAGCAGAAACACTTTTGACATCATGGAATTTGAGAGGGCCCCAATGAACTCAATTTTCTCAGCGGAAACAAGGTTGCCTTCCCAGTGTTTAGGATGAGACCCAGACAGCCATGCGAGCACAGTGTGGTGCTGATGTGAACAAGAACTTCCTCTCTGGAGTTCTGTCCCTCAGTAACCAGTCATTCAGATACAGGAAGACGTGAATTCCTTTCTTCCTGAAATATGCTGTAACAACGGCCATGCATTTGGTAAAAACCTGGAGGGGAGGGGGAAAGAGAAGAGAGGCTGAATGGAAGCACTGTGTACTGAAAGTGGTGCTCTGCCATGACAAATTGAAGGAATTTTCTGTGGCTCAGCAAAATTGCCACAAGGAAGTAGTCATCCTGAAGGTCCAGAGCAGCAAACCAGTCGTTCTGAGACAATGCAAGGAGAATATTAGATAGACAAGGATTTGGAACCTCATGTACCTGATATATTTGTTGAGGCCATGAAAGACAAGCATAGGTCTTACTCCTCCCTTGGATCTGGGTACCTGCTTGAGGAGCAGTATCTCACGAGAGAGGGGTCCCTGAAGAGGGACTAGGAGGGAGGATGGGGAGATGGTGTGGAGAGAAACTGGGTGGCATAACCCAATCTGACAGATCCAGCTGTCAGTGGTGATCAAGCCCCAAGCATTGTGAAAACAGGCCAGCCTGTCCCCAAAAGGGGGAGATGAGGAGGGAGGAGCAAGGATGGGAATAATGCTCTGGACCAAGGAATCAAAATGGGCATGTGGAGGGCGCCAGGGAGGGGCCAAACCCCGAGTCCAACTGCTTTCTCCTGTGGGGTCTCTCCCTCTTTCTGGGGTAGTCCCATTGCCTCAGAGGAGCGAAAGGCTGGCCAAGCATGCACTGCAGATGATACTGCTGTTGCACGCCCTACTGGGGCTGGGGTCTACACCCCAAAGACCACAGGGTGGCCCGGGAATCAAAGGAGTGCAGCCATTTTGTCCAAAACCAGTGTTTAGCCATTGAAGGGCAAATCCTCAATGGCTTGCTGGACATTAGGGGCACTGCCCAAATTCTGCAGCCAGGAAGCCCTCCTCATGGTGACCGTGGAGGCCATCACTCTGGCTGAGGTGTCTGTGACCTCTGGTGTGGACTGCAATGACATCTTAGCCAGCAAGCAGCCCTCAGTGACAAATGCCCAAAATTCCTCTTGTGAGGCCTCAGGGAGCTGCTCTGCAGACTTTGACACAGTTGTCCAGTTAAAAAATCATACTTGGACAGTAAGGCTTGCTGGTTAGCAATTCACATCTGTGAGGTGTAAATCTTCCTGCCCATGAGGTCCAATCATATAGAATTCCTATACTTGGGGTTGGATTTAAACCAGCCCTGCCTGCCTGTTATTCACCACAGTTACAGCTAAGGAATTTGGGGCTGGATGGGAGTAAAACCCCTCAAATCCCTGCATGGGAATGAAACAATGCTTTTCCATGTGCTTATCTGCAGGCAGTACCAAAGCCAGCATGCTCCAGAGGGCCTTAACTGGTTCAGGGAGCGCATCATTGATAGGAAGGGCAATTCTACCAGGGCAGACAGCTGCAGATATCCAATAATTTGTGGGTGTTCTCTTGCAAGAACTCCACTTGGATACCGAGGGAAGCAGCTACCTGTTGCAAAAGGACTTGGTATATCTTAAAATCCCCCAGTACCAAAGGGGAGGATGAGCTGGGCAGCACGGAATCGTCTGAAGACAAAGATGAGGCCCTTAGCTGAGCCAAACCAGATCCTGTTCCAGGGCTGATGGGCCTTTATGGGAGGACTCTGAAGACTCTGCAGGGTGAAGCATCGCCAGTGCCTGGGCCTACGGAGGATGGACAGTCACACCACATCCTGGCTGATGATCTTGCCTTTGAGCAAGACGAAGAGCAGGACCTCCAAAACTGAGGGGCATTCCACGGATTCCATGGAGGCCACGGACATGGGTAAGGCATTGGTGGCCAGTAGGTGCCGGGCCAGGGCCCTCCATCCTGACCACAAGACGTGTGCCAATCCTGGTACCCGTAACAGTCCATCAACAGCTCCCAATGCTGGTAGGTGATGGAGAACAGGAGAACGATGACACCAACTCAGACACAGAGGAGCCTCGGGATCCTGGAGATAAGGACAGAGCGAGACCAAAGGGAGTGAGTAGGAACAAAGCAGGAGGCAGCACTGCTAATAGAAATGATACTGTTGGTACAGAGCATGCTGGTGCCAGAAGGGACTTTTGGTCCTGAATTGAACAGTGATGCTGGGGTGTCTTATGATACTGATGTCAAGGGCAGTGAAAGCCACCACAGAAGCATTTGCAGAGCCAACTGCAGCGGTCCGAGGAGTTTCCCGGTACTGAGGTCCCCTGTATCAATCCCAGTACCAGCCCTGCTTCCACAACATGTGGAAGGGGAACACTGGGGTGCAGTGCAAACAGACCTGAGGGGTCAGTGGCTTGTTCAATCAATGGGGCAAGAGATGATACAACCCTGGCAAAGTCCTGGACCAAAGGAGAAGTTGGGACAGAAAAGCAGAAGTCTGTAGCTGCCTGGTATGCTGTCAGTGTGGAAACAGTCAGTACCAGAATTTCCCTCATTGGTACCAGACTAAACAGACACCCGGAGGCTGGAACCAGACTCAACAGTAAAGGGTTTCTGACCTCCTTACTCGGTACCAAAGAAGGGATGGAGATACCCGTACCATCCTGTGTGCCAGCATCAACTCCGTGCTGGTCCACGTTTTTCCTGGGGGAGGTGGAAGAGTGAGCATACATCCTAAGTGGAATATGGGCCTGCATCTACTCAAAGAAGAACAGTTTGTTCCCAGTTAGCCGTGATATATCTGAAAACACTGGTAGCTCACAAATGCTCACTGGTAGCTCACGTCACTAAGCTGATTCAAGCACATTATAAATACTTAAATATACATGATTTGCGACAGGACTGAAAAATGTTGGGTACATAATAATGGGCCAGATCTTCACCCCCGGCCCTCTTCCACTACACGGCCATTTGCAGCAGGGGCAGCCACACCCACTTTCCTTCCTCAACCTGCCTTCCCTCCAACATGCTCCCTCTGTCTCTTACACAAGGTAAGGTTAGGGAGGGTAGCTGCACAGACGGCAGCTCCAACGTTCTGCTGGAAAAGAGATGCCTTGCAAGGAGCATAGAATCATAGAATCATAGAATATCAGGGTTGGAAGGGACCTCAGGAGGTCATCTAGTCCAACCCCCTGCTCAAAAGCAGGACCCATACCCAATTAAATCATCCCAGCCAGGGCTTTGTCAAGCCTGACCTTAAAAACTTCTAAGGAAGGAGATTCCATCACCTCCCTAGGCAACGCATTCCAGTGTTTCACCACCCTCCTAGTGAAAAAGTTTTTCCTAATATCCAACCTAAACCTCCCCCACTGCAGCTTGAGACCATTACTCCTTGTCCTGTCCTCTTCCACCACTGAGAATAGTCTAGAACCATCCTTTCTGGAACTACCTCTCAGGTAGTTGAAAGCAGCTATCAAATCCCCCCTCATTCTTCTCTTCTGCAGACTAAACAATCCCAGTTCCCTCAGCCTCTCCTCATAACTCATGTGTTCCAGACCCCTAATCATTCTTGTTGCCCTTCGCTGGACTCTCTCCAATTTATCCACATCCTTCTTGTAGTGTGGGGCCCAAAGCTGGACACAGTACTCCAGATGAGGCCTCACCAATGTCGAATAGAGGGGGACGATCACATCCCTCGATCTGCTCGCTATGCCCCTACTTATACATCCCAAAATGCCATTGGCCTTCTTGGCAACAAGGGCACGCTGCTGGCTCATATCCAGCTTCTCATCCACTGTCACCCCTAGGTCCTTTTCCGCAGAACTGCTGCCTAGCCATTCGGTCCCTAGTCTGTAGCTGTGCATTGGGTTCTTCCGTCCTAAGTGCAGGACTCTGCACTTATCCTTATTGAACCTCATCAGATTTCTTTTGGCCCAATCCTCTAATTTGTCTAGGTCCCTCTGAATCCTATCCCTGCCCTCCAGCGTATCTACCACTCCTCCCAGTTTAGTATCATCCACAAATTTGCTGAGAGTGCAATCCACACCATCCTCCAGATCATTTATGAAGATATTGAACAAAACCGGCCCCAGGACCGACCCTTGGGGCACTCCACTTGATACCGGCTGCCAACTAGACATGGAACCATTGATAACTACCCGTTGAGCCCGACAATCTCATCCATTAAGGGGCCCACACTTTCCTTGGCTTTCTTCTTGTTGCCAACATACTGAAGAAACCCTTCTTGTTACTCTTAACATCTCTCGCTAGCTGCAGCTCCAGGTGCAATTTGGCCCTCCTAATTTCATTCCTACATGCCAGAGCAATATTTTTATACTCTTCCCTGGTCATATGTCCAACCTTCCACTTCTTGTAAGCTTCTTTTTTATGCTTAAGATCTGCTAGGATTTCACCGTTAAGCCAAGCTGGTCGCCTGCCATATTTACTATTCTTTCAACACATCGGGATGGTTTGTCCCTGTAACCTCAACAGGGATTCCTTGAAATACAGCCAGCTCTCCTGGACTCCTTTCCCCTTCATGTTAGTCCCCCAGGGGATCCTACCCATCTGTTCTCTGAGGGAGTCGAAGTCTGCTTTCCTGAAGTCCAGGGTCCGTATCCTGCTGCTTACCTTTCTTCCCTGTGTTAGGATCCTGAACTCAACCAACTCATGGTCACTGCCTCCCAGATTCCCATCCACTTTTGCTTCCCCTACTAATTCTTCCCGGTTTGTGAGCAGCAGGTCAAGAAAAGCTCCCCCCCAGTTGGCTCCAATTCTCTACCAACTACTTCTGGCTGATTTAAGACAACTTTGCTCTGCTTACATGGTGCACAGAGGCCTTAGCAGTCTATAGACTCTTCAGCCTGAGATTGAGAAGCAGGTCACAGTGCACGTTTCTCTCTACTTATTCCACTGTTTTTGTATTTTTTTCTTTTTATTAAATGGCTGAATTCAGTGATGCTTGGTATCAGAGCCTGGAGCCAGACAGAGTTTTGTGCAAGTTTCCCCAGTGCAATTCTGGGAAAACATCTTCACCCTGCTGTGCACCACCTTTACTGTTCCAAAAGCTAACCCCCAACACACCACTTCCAAATACATCTTTGTTCGGTCCTTTCGCACAGCTCTGCCATCACCCCTCACCAGCACCACCCCCTTTGTTCTAGCCCTGAGTCTCTCATCTAATTACATGAAGTCTTTTGTGCTATGCACAAAAATCAACAGGGAACTAGACTGCCATCATGTAGTTCATTTCACTCCCAATCTACATCAGACCCAACAGACCAAGAGTGGTGAAAAATGAGTGCACTAACTCTCTGTGCCTACTAGCCCTTCAGCATCTGTTTTCAAGGGAGTACAAGGCACTTCATTGTTTCATCAGGAACGAAGTTAGGGACCTCAAATATGTTGATGGCTTCTACAAATCTAAACAGAATTTTATTCAGAAATCACCTGATTCATCCTCTTTACGCTCAAGTACCTCAATCCTCTCATCTGCATCCAGGTCAATACGCTTCTCCTTGCTGTTCCGCAGAGTCCAGCACAAGCCATAGAGCTGCCATTAAACAAAATGAGCTTATAAAGCTGCAGCCTTAGAGTACTGAAATCAGCAAATTGAGATTGGTATAGTATTTGGGGGTCATGAATGTTTGATAAATAATATTCAGGGATAATTAGGGATCTCATAAGAGTAGGGAGATACTGTAGGAGACTATTCCTGTTTCCCTTCCTTAATAGCTTCATTCTTGAAATCTTTGCTACACCACAGAAAATGTACCACCTACTGTTTGTGGCTCTTTGGGGTCAACTTTCAGTATTATTCCACATTTTATACTATATAATGTCTTCAAGGTGTTTCTGATTACAGAATAATCTCCAGAACACTGTTTATCTAGCAGAGAGTGCTGCATTTCCAGAGACATCAGGACCAAGGAATAATTTGGGGAAGATGTAAAATTTCACTGTGAACCCAATTAGCTGGGAGGATCCTATATGATTTGCATACTCTAAATTCTAGGGTTGAATATACTTATTAATACTTGTAAAGTGTAAATTAAAGTGATGGGTTTTTTCATTGCTCTCCAGTAGCTCAGGGAGCAGGAGGGGGAATAAAAGAGCAGGAGAGGCAACAATACTCACATGTACATCAGGAATGGGTTTAGTTATCAATGAGATACCCAGAATGACAATGGTGGAGATCCCAAAAAGGATTATAGCAAAGTAAAGGTAATGAACTCCACAAATGATCTTTGGACAGTTGCTGGGGTTTACACAGCTTCCAGAACCATAGGCAAACTCTGCAATCATTCGACTCAGCCCAACGACCAGCCCAATGAACAAGCCCCAGAAGGCACCCTGCAAAAGAAAGTGACCCGCAGAATTATCAGAAAGAGCTGTTGTGGATATAGAAATACATCACCTCTTTTAATCTCTCAATATCAATACAATATGTAATGCTGCCATTGGACACGTGAGCAAACTACAGCAACAAGTGGTTAAGAATAGAGAGAACATGAGCCTTCTTATTGGCCAGAACCAAACCAGTTATTAAAATGTACTGGGTTAGGACAACAGGAGAATCTCCAAAAGTCTTTTGCTTTTCCTGATTTTAAAAGTAATTCTTGTCTTTTCTGTATAAAACTGCATCTTAGAACCTTGAGCCCCGCTTCCCTCATTGAAATTACACACAGGTTAACTGTAGGAAGAAAAGGAGGACTTGTGGCACCTTAGAGACTAACAAATTGCCACAAGTCCTCCTTTTCTTTTTGCGGATACAGACTAACACGGCTGCTACGCTGTTAACTGTAGGATGGCTTGGGAGTGCTAGCCTGTACTTGCTACTTTGTTGTTGAAGGTTTGCTCTTGAGTGCTGGCTTATTGGCAAGGGTTCTAAGAAAGAACAGCAGCACTGCAGAGCTTGTTTTTAAAATAAATTCTCTCTCAAGAATGACATGCAATTTGCACACAGACATTAGAATCATAGAATCATAGAATATAAGGGTTGGAAGGGACCCCAGAAGGTCATCTAGTCCAACCCCCTGCTCGAAGCAGGACCAAATCCCAGTTAAATCATCCCATTAGAAGTAAGGTTCTTCTTCAAGGCCTGGCCTACACTGGTGGAGGGGGGGAAGGGGATCGATCTAAGATACGCAACTTCAGCAATGTGAATAACGTAGCTGAAGTCGACGTAGTTAGATCTACTCACCGCAATGTCTTCACTGCGGTGAGTCGACTGCTGATGCTCCCCCGTCGACTCTGCCTGCGCCTCTCGCGGCGGTGGAGTACAGGAGTCGACGGGAGAGCACTTGGGGGTCAATCTATCGTGTCTAGACTAGACGCGATAAATCGACCCCCACTGGATCAATTGCTGCCCACCAATCCGACGAGTAGCATAGACATACCCGGGCTGCAGATGTGTATTCCTCTGAGATGTGTGAGCACCCATCACAACGAAGCTGGAAAACTTTGCCTAGCAGTACCCACAGGGGTGGTGCTCATGCCCCGGAGCTCTAGTCCCTTCTCTGTCTATTTAAGGGCAGCACGGCCTCTACCCTTCTCAGTTCCTTCTCACTGCCCACACCTAGAGTCGGAGCATTCTATGTGGTGATTTACCTCACACTGTTTATCTCAGTTTCTTTGGGAACTCATTGTATATAGCTCTTCTTCTTCTTCGAGTGCTTGCACATGTCCATTCCAATGTGTGTGTGCGTGTGCATGATCATTGGAAGGTTTTACCCTAGCAGTACCCGTCAGGTCAGCTGCGGAGCCCCCTGGAGTAGCGCCTTCATGGCAGTGTACATAGGCCCCTGCCGACCCGCCAGTTCCTTCTTACCGCCGGTGACGGTTGTTGGAGCAGCTTGTCTCTTGCTTTAGCAAGTGCTTTCCTAGTGTTTTTTCCTGTACATATTGTTAATCATTATTATAGTAGTTAGTTTCTTAGTTAGTTAGTTCAAGTTGGGGGTTCCCCCCTCGCCAGGCCCCAGGGGTTCAAGCCGTGTGATAGGTGTGGAAAGCCTATGCCCAGAAGGGATCCACACACCACTTGTCTGAAGTGCCTGGGAGAGGGACATTTGCAGGACAAGTGTAGTATTTGCAGAGGCTTCAAACCCAGAACCAAAAGGAAGAGACACGATCAGCTGAAACTCCTTTTCATGGAGTCTGCTCTCCAGCCTCAGCCGGCACAAGAGAGGGCACCAGCAGCCTCGGTGCACAGCACACCAGCCTCGGTGCGCAGGCGCCGAGGAAGGACTCTTATAAGGAGCATCGGCACCACTCCCCTGCGGGGAAGGCCAGCTCATCGGTGCAGCACCGATCACAATCCCTGGTGCCACATAAGAAGAAAAAGGTGGAGAGGGGCCATTCCCCCACCAACAAGAGTGAACAGGACACCAGTGTGGCATGTCCCACGCCGGGACACCAGAAAGCTGGTCCGTCGGTCCTGACGCCGTTGACTCCAGCCTTGAGGGGAGGTCTGTTGAGTCCAGTGTCAGTGTTGGAGGAGGTCTGGGAGGTGTTGGAGGAGGGCCTGGACCTTCCCTCCACACCAGACACTTTCGAGGCCACGTGGGATTGATTGCCAAAAGGTCACAGTACCCCGCCTCACATTCCCAGGCGCTGGTTCAGGTACAGATGCCACACGCCCCGGCTCATCCTGCAGCGCTGATGCCCGGTACATCTGCTACACCACTTTGGGCACTGACGGCGGCACCGCCTGCAGCTCCGTCTGCGGCACCAACTATCCAGTACTAGGGCAAGCCCACCACGATGCGGCACTGTTCCCCATCGCCTCAGTACCGCTCCCTGGCACCGTCTGGGTCCGCCCCTCTCTGGTTGGGCTCTGAGTCAGGGGCAGAGTTGTTCGTGTCCCGACACAGCTGGTACCACCAATGCCTGCAGCACATGCACCACCAGTCTCAGCAGCGGTGGACGTCCCTGAGCACATCACCAGGGAACTGGAGGGGCAGGAAGACCCTGTCCCACCTTGAGCCTCATTTTCTTCCTCACCAGACAAGGCAGTAGCAGGCACCACTACGTCCCTCCTGGAGCCCACCAGGACCTCCTTAGGAGGGTGGCCCAGAACCTCAATGTGCAAACTGAGGAGGTTGTGGAAGACTCAGACCCAATGGTCGACATACTCACCCTGGAGGGGCCCTTCAAGGTGGCATTGCCACCTATAAAAACTATACAAAACATGAAGGTGCTCTGGCAGACCCCGGTCTCTATACCACCTATGGCCAGGTGTGTAGAGAGGCGTTACTTCGTCCCACAAAAGGGATATGAGCACTTCTTCACCCACCCACAACCAGGGACCTTGGTGGTGGATGCAGCAAACCACAGGGAGCAGAAGGGGTAACCGGGACCCACCCCTGAAAATAAGGAGGCCAAGAAGCTGGACCTCTTCGGTCAAAAGGTATACTCGACTGGGGGGCTCCAACTTCGAATTTCCGACCAGCAGGTGGTACTTAGCCACTATGCATACAATTCTTGGAATGCCCTCTCCAAGTTTCAGCAACTGCTCCCATCAATGTCACGACAGGAATTTGCTCCAGTCCTAGAGGAGGGCAGAGTGGTGGCTAGAACCTCCCTCCAAGCTGCTTTGGACTCCACTGACTCAGCAGCACGGACTATGGCTACGGCCATTACAATGAGGCATAGCTCATGGCTACAGGTCTCGGGACTCCCCGTGGAGGTCCAGAATACAATACAGGACCTTCCATTTGACAGTGACGAGACGGACTGGAGACTGCACAGTCTCAAGGACTCATGAGCAACCCTCAAGTCTCTGGGAATTCACATGCCAGCACCTCATAGAAAGCCCTTCAAGCCCCAGCCCCCCTCACACTGCTACCCAGGACCTCCTAAGCAGGACTATAATTGAGGGAGGGGCAGAAACAACAGGAGGTATCCTCCACAGTCCTCCTCTGGCCAGGGCCAGGGCCAGGGCTCCTCCAAGCAGCCGTCCACCTCGAAGCCGAACTTTTGAAAGTGCGCCTGAGGACGGAGCACCAGTCCAAATCTCGGATCCTTTTCCTCCCTTTGTGAATCATCCGTCCCGCTTCTACCGTGCCTTGGCCCAGATTACTTCAGATTGCTGGGTCCTGAGCATGGCAGGGATGGGATATTCTATCCAATTCTGTGCCCTTCCACCCTCCTACCCACTTTCCCCATCCCTCTTAGGGACCCTTCTCATGAGCAACTCCTTCTACAGGAGGTGCAAACACTCCTTGCTCTAGGGGTGATAGAGGAGGTTTCTCAGGAGTTCAGGGGCAGGGGATATACTCCTGATATTTCCTCATCCCCATGGCCAAAGGTGGGCTCAGCCCTATGCTAGATCTGCGAAACCTCAACACATTTATAAGAAAGCTGAAGTTTCGTATGGTCTCTCTGGCCACCATCATTCCTTCCCTGGATCCAGGGGACTGGTACGCCACCCTCGACCTGGAGGACGCATACTTCCATATATCGATTATTCTGGTGCACAGACGATTCTTGAGATTTGTAGTGAGCGGCCGACATTACCAGTCCATTGTACTCCCATTCAGGCTTTCAACAGCCCCTCGCATGTTCACAAAGTGCATGGCAGTTGTGGCAGTCTCTCTCTGCAAACGCCAGGTACAGGTCTTCCCATACCTGGATGACAGGCTCATCAAGGGCGATTCTCGAGTGCAAGACCACATGGCATTGGCACAGGCCACTTTCAGCACGCTGGGGCTCATTCTGAACATGCACAAGTCTACCCTAACCTCAACCCAAAAAATAGAATTTATTGGGGCTCCCCTGGACTCAACTCAAGCCAGGGCTTCCCTGCCCGAGTCCCAATTCCAAAGCATCGGGGGCATCAAGAGCCTCTGCCGGTTTCCAGCAACTACGGCCAGAAACCGCATGAAGCTTCTGGGGCATATGGTGGCCTGCACGTATGTAGTACAACACGCCAGATTGTGCCTTCGCCCCTTCTAGGCTTGGTTGGTGAAGGTATACAGACTGAGCCGGGATCCTCTGGACAGACTGGTGACCCTCCTGCCCCCAATTCTCGAGTCCCTCAGCTGGTGGCTACAACCTCAGATTGTCTGTGTGGGAGTGCCCTTCACCAAGCCTCAGCCCTCACTGTTGCTGGTCACGGACACATTAGAGATGGGCTGGGGAGCGCACCTGGGCAGTATCAGAACTCAAGGCCTGTGGTCACAACCAGAACTATCGCTGCATATCAACGTCAGGGAGCTGAGAGCGGCTTGTCTGGCTTGCCAGACGTTCCAGGCCCATCTTCAGGGCAAGTGTGTCTCAGTGATGACGGACAACACCACAGCAATGTTCTATATAAACAAACAGGGTGGTGCTCGCTCCTCTCCCCTGTGCCA